AAGTTAAAAAAATAAAAGTGTATTATATCATCAGTTGCATAATACTTTGAAGAAACGGGTGCCAAAAAAATGCATCGAGCTATGCTTTGTTTCTATCTTGCCCATCCTTATCTCTCCCTCAAGCGAAACTTTAATCAACACATTAGCTTCCATGTCCCCTAGTCTGAAATCCATGTGTTCCAGATTTTGAGAATGTATTGAAAAAATTATATAATTCTTCTGATCACCTTTACAAAATTTATAAGACTAAGATAGATAACAAGTATGAATTTCCAACAACAAAAAAATATCAAAATTTCTGTAAAAATTGTGTGTTTTTGTAATTTTAAACATATCTATATATTTTTACAATCCAAAGGTTAAATACATGCATGGCTCATCAACTATGGCTCGAGAATAAAATTTTGGAAATGAAAAATGGTGAGAAATTATTATTTTTTATCAAATTTTATAAGTAACAAATTTGTTATATATTTCTCTACATTAATTTGAATGAAAAAATATTTCTTAAAAATAGTAAACTTTCTTAAGAATATTAAAGAAATCATTTTTCATTTTCGTTCCTTGATCACTATTTATAGCCATAATACGTCTTAGAGTTATAGAAAAGTGATGAGTTACATCTTAAACATATATTCCCTCAATTTATCACTCTTCATTGATATTACAATTAACAACATTAACAAGTGATCGTTCAATTTGACTTTACAAGTGGAAATCTATAATATATTTATATGTTTTAATAAGCATGGTTAAATTGGTTTATGAAGTTTATTTCAACTTAATGAATTTAATCTAACTGGTTACAGTAAGTTCACGTCGTTGAAGTTTTTGAAAGATATAGGCAAAGTAGATTACAAGTTATATTTTCTAATAAATTTTTTTTTATTTTCTAATAACTTAGATATATCAATTTAACAAAAACAAAATAAAGAGGACATACAAGTGAGATACACCATTAGCGAGCATATGCAATTCAGCTAATTACACACAGAACAGTCCAAAATATCTTGCTATTCTCAAATTTCTCGATACCTACAATTAATGGTTACATAACATGATAATTAGAGTTTAGTGAGTTATGATCCAAGTGCATGTATTAATGGTTGCAGATTTTGTAATTACTTTTAGATACCGTAACATGGGTTTCAGAGCCACATGCCCCATCCTAATTGGATCTCAAATGAAGACAAATGAAGTGAGATGCCAAAGGCTAGTCGTCCACCCACTCGAATCGGGTCGGGTGTCAGCGGGATCCGCGGGGGGTGGGGGATGGGTGGGAAGGGAAGAATCAAGCCCACACCTCCTGGTTTCAGATTCAAGCTACATCTCTCTCTTCTTCCCATGCGGTCAACACACACACATTAAATTATCTGTCTCTCTCTCTCTCGTTACTGCTACTACTAATTAATTACACTAACGATATACGAAGTCATAATTTATATTTAATCTAATAATATGTGTATAACTATATTACCAGCTACCACCACAAAATTTGCATATTTCACCAAAAACGTCCGATGAGGTACACAAATATATGTAGGAGCTTGGGAAATAAACATGCTAACCTGCCACAAGCGTCTCAATTGAAATCCAAGTATTTTGCACACGGTAACTTTTTCTTTTTTAATCATGCATGGCCTTAACCTAATAAGAGTACAATTTTAATCCACCATACCATTATGATTAATGTGCGGAGTTTAGATATGTAATAGGTCTTACATGGAAAATGTCTAGATCAAAGAAAACCATTTTACGGTTCAGCAACTGAAGACACACACACATATATAACTTACAGAAATATACACGAAAACTGAAACGGATCATGTGCAAAACGGATCATAAAAATATACACATGGAGTTACCGTGTGCAAAATTTTATATCTTTTCAGTTTTCAATATAAAATTTATTGAATTTTATGATATATGGTGATTTGTATTCTAGTGTCTTTTTTTTTTGAACACATTCTAGTGTCTATTAGATGAATAGTTAATGATGTTTTGTTAAGAAAATATAAAACAAATATTTTTTTTATTTATATACACAGTCCGAAAACGTTATTAAATAAAAACGGATGAAGTAAAACTTTATAGATTATCTAAGTTCCGTTGCCTTTTTATTATCGATTAGAAAACTCATGATTGCATCCATCCGATTGAGATTACTCTCGGAATGACTTTGTGCGACAGTTGTAACAAAAAAAAAACAAAACGAATAGGATATTGTCCGTAGAATACATAAAGTCTTGAACGTTTTAATTTAAACTGTGTAACTATAAATATATAGGTCAAAGCACTGAGGATTTCTCTCAAGTTTGTTCCCCAATCATCATATCTACAATTCCTTCTTTTATCATTTTGTTCGAATATTTGTTTTATATATCATGTAAATAATATGGAACCAAGAAGAAAACAAAAGCAAATGACCTTTTGGTAGACATTATGAAACTTATTAAGGGTTGTGTATAGTTCTATTATTTATATATAACATAATTTAATGTGTTGAAGCCGGATTATTAAAAAATAATCCGACACAATTAATGAATCACATTTAACAAGTCTCAACTACATAAATTTAATACTGTCAATAATTTAAAAAATAATTATAATGTTAAGCACTTTATCCACTTCGTATAAGCATGTCTGAATCATAACCGAATCCAAAGTTTTCTTTATATATAGGCAAGTAACAGCAATTTCATCTTCTTTATATGACTTTTTTTTTCCTAATACAACCCATACACTGTTTGTTCAGGAACTTTTTTTCTGTCAACGGTCAGGTTTTGAATTATATATGAATCTAACAAATTGTTAAAAATGTATATACTCAAGACAAATAAAGTGGAAAACAAGAAAGTAATGAGAAGTGGCACTGTCAAACACTTTTTGACATGCCTTGTCCGGAGAATGTTTACTTTGGTGGTCGTGTGAACAAGAAAATAACTGAAGCTGCACATTTTGGGAAATTTGGATATAAATTTTGGCAGATTTAAGGTAATTATTAGAGTAGTGAATAGTCATGTTAAAATCACCCAAGATATTCCGATCGTGACGTGAAAGCCACCCTTTCGAGTTTCAGGCATGTCCCTGAATGAGTCAATGTTTTTTAGGGAAGTGATTAAACATTAAATGAATCATTCACGCGTGTCAGCTTCTCCACGTGCGAGTGTGAGCTGGTTTTCGCTGGCTGGTCTTGTAACGTGAAGGCATCGCAACCGACGGGGACAAACATCCAACGGCGTCTGACGCGCTTGTCATCTTCTCTTTCCCTCCACTTCTTGTCTCTTTAGTCTTTCCCAAGCTTTGCGAATTACGAGCTTGAATCTGGCCTCATCGAGCGCACCATACACAATTAATCCGTTCAGCAACGTCTGAATATAATAGTAATACTACTACTTTGCTTTATGCTAAAATACCCCCTAAAAAAACAAAAAACAAAATCGGCTGAAATTAAAAGAACTCAAGTCAGTTTTACTTGAACCGTCTAATCAATGGGTAACTTTCAGAATGATGGAATAATCTCAGAATTTCATAGATTGTATGGACCCGTGCATTTACACATTCTTTCTGGTAAACTGTATTTGTCTTGTTAGTCATTTCAACGTTCTATTTTATATATGTATATATATATTAGTCTTGATCTTCTAATAGTTGCAGTATTATGCAGTGTCACTGATCAAATCCATTACAAAAAAATGTTTTTCTGTGCTACTTGATTTCTTTTTACATATATTTATGATAAGGGTACGTAGTGATTTGGCCGGAGGCATTGAAAGAGTATAAGCTGATGTTGAATGATTAGCTACAAATTGAATTGTGAAACCAAACAAAATATAATCATATATAAACATTAATATTGACATATATGGTATTTTCAGAAAACGCTTTTGACATCGCTAATTGGTGGATAATAATTTGAAATATATCTTGGATACTAAAATATTAGTATACAATTAAGTGGTTCTATTTTCCTGTATCTAAGTGAAATATTTAAACTGCTTCTGTCATCATCCAACCACAATAACGTTTCTTCTTCGCATTAACTATCAGCTTATTTGCCATTTCAACTCTTAATTATTTGTCACTAACTTTCATGCACCTTAATTAACTAATTTTAACGTACATATATTGCGGACACATGTACCTTGTTAAAAGATATTGCAGGGCAAAAACCATTTTTTTTGTGAGGACAAGAAAACAATTGTATGTATTTTTCTACAAACCAACCCTACCGGATTCTTTACAAATATTTTTAAAGGAGTCATTCCTTGACGCTTGTTTAAAAGTTCTCTGCCAAAGCAATTTAAAAAAAAAAATTAATAATAATGTACGTGAAAAAAAAAACTCGATTCTTCACTACATATTTTTATATTTTGTAAATCATCAGAAAAGGAATATATAAGTGTTAATTTGGCTTATTCTACCTACTTGTATTGAAGATTATAAATTTATATGTTGCTCTTTACGTTTTGAATGTGCGTATATATAGACAGAAATTGTTATTTTTATGGTGTAGAGTTACATCGAGAAACATAATATAAAAAGAAGGAAAAAGACTCGTGAATATTGGCTACAAAATAAGATCTTGTGAAAGACCGTACATTAGGGCATGTACCAGCTATAAATCATATACATATATGCATCAGTTTCATCATAAGATTAATTAACTTGAAAAACAAAATCATTTTAGATTCGAGATTGACTCGTGCGCTTTAATTTGTGTGTCAATTATAATCTTTGATATAATTCCACGCATCCATGGACTATATTATCTAGTAAACATCATCCAATATTTTTCACGGAAACTTCTTTGTTAAATTTTCTTCCTTATTTTTCAATTAAAGAGAGACAAACACACAACTTGAAATTATTACACAACAGAAAAAAATTGGACCCCACAAAGTGACACAGTATCTGGGACCCACACACCGCCATGAGGCACGCTGTCTATCTAAAGTCTAAAACCAAAACAAAACCCATCTTCCATCTGAATACTTTCTTAACCTCAACCTCTCAGACCTAACCCTAAACGCATCTCTCTCCTCTCTCTCTCTCTCTTTTTCTTACAAGCTTCATCTTCATGTATTACTAGTCCATTTCCAGTTTCATTTTACTTGTACACGACCTTTTATCTCTTTCTTTTTCAAATATTCAATTTTCTTCCTCTTGATTAATTGTGTATCCATACTCAAGCTAAAGCTACTGGTTTTGGTTTCAGCGGAAGAGAAAAAGAGACTAATTAACTAGGGTTTTTTTTTTATTTTTTAAATTCAAGAAATGGATCAGGTCTCTCGCTCTCTTCCTCCACCTTTTCTCTCAAGGGATCTTCATCTTCACCCACACCATCAGTTCCAGCATCAGCAGCAACATAACCACGCCCACGAAATCGACCAGCACCGAATCAGCGGCCTAAAACGCGACCGAGAAACTGATCAAATCGATCCAAACGAGCTCTCTCCAGCCGGAAAAGATCAAAACACTCCCGGTTCCGGCGGAGAAAGCGGCGGCGGCGGTGGAGGAGGAGATAATCAAATCACGAGAAGACCACGTGGAAGACCAGCCGGATCCAAGAACAAACCAAAACCACCAATCATCATCACAAGAGACAGCGCAAACGCTCTCAAATCCCACGTGATGGAAGTAGCTAACGGCTGTGACGTCATGGAAAGCGTCACCGTCTTCGCACGCCGTCGCCAACGCGGTGTCTGCGTTTTGAGCGGAAACGGCGCCGTCACCAACGTTACAATAAGACAACCAGCTTCAGTGCCTGGTAGTGGTGGCGGCTCGTCTGTGGTTAACTTGCACGGACGTTTCGAGATTCTTTCTCTCTCGGGATCTTTCCTCCCTCCTCCTGCTCCTCCGGCTGCTTCTGGTCTAACGATTTACTTAGCCGGTGGTCAGGGACAAGTTCTTGGAGGGAGTGTGGTGGGACCACTCGTGGCCTCGGGTCCTGTGGTGATTATGGCTGCTTCGTTTGGGAACGCTGCGTATGAGAGGTTGCCTTTGGAGGAGGATGATCAAGAAGAGCAGCAAACGGCTGGAGCGGTTGGTAATAATAATAATAATATCGATGGAAACGCAACGATGGGTGGTGGGACGCAAACGCAGAGGCAGCAGCAGCAGCACCAATTGATGCAAGATCCAACGTCGTTTATTCAAGGGTTGCAACCTAATCTTATGAGTTCTGTTCAATTGCCAGGTGAAGCTTATTGGGGAACTCCAAGACCATCTTTCTAATTCGCCCAAAAAATAATAATACGTTTCTCGTTTTTTTTTTTATAATATATCTTTTGTCAAATTTTAATTTTATTTTCTTTCCTTTATTTTCTATAAGATAATTGTAGCCTTTGATTGAAGATTCGTGGTACGTATGAAATCGACGAGAACCGTTTTGGTCATGAGATTGGTTGATCAATCTTTTAGGTTTGAGAATGGTGTGTGTTTTGTGTGTCTGCGTTGACTATGAGATAATGAATTGGTTTCGAGTTTTTATGATCTATTTGATGGTGATAATTAAGCTTTGCCTACATGTTGAATTATAATGCAGAAAGCTATATGATTTTATCAAATGGTTCTTAACACCAAGAAAAAGTTACATGTCAATAGCTAACAATGTCAGTTTTAGTCCGTTACTAATTTATCAAACTGTAAACCCCCATTTTCCGAAAAGTTCACATGGTATATGTATATTATTTTCCTGTTTAAGTTTTAACATAGGTTATTTATATTTAGTTTAAAGTTTGAAGATAGTTATTATAAGAAAAAGAAGAAAAAGATGATTGTTCCGAGGTTGGTAAGATGATGGTGAGGCAAGAGGCATAATGACAAGAACCAGACTTGGGAACAATGTGATTGCATTTGGCAGATATAAGCACATATTACATGAAAAATCCAAGATATATACAATTACATAAGTAGTTTTCAAATATAAAGAAACTAGTCAAAATGTCTTGTGATGTTATTTCTTGAAAGTAAGAAAAGGGTCGGGTAGAAATAGCTTCTAAATCTTGGAACAAGAAAATGATGATTACATCGACTAGCTCACTTGATCACTGCATATATATACTATAATTTGTGTGTGTAGGGTTTGATTTGTAAAAGTAGAGAGAGAGAGAAGAGAAAGCAAGTTAAGGGAGTGGAAGAGAAGAAGAGCATTGGATGAAGCACCAACGCACGTGCGTGTCTCTGAGAAGGAAAAGTTCCTTTACGAGGAGATGAGTGAAGTGAGAGTTCCTTAATTCCAAAGCCACCTCCCTCCTTTTGCATTTACATCTCATCCTCTCTTTCACCTTTTTCTATTACTTATGGTCGATTGCTTTTTTTTTTTGCTGTCCGAACGATTACTATCAGTTACATAAGTATAACGACATATATATAAGTTGAATATAGCCTGCACAACTATGTTTTTGATGGATAATATACATTCTTATATTTTGTATATTATACTTTTACATGTGTTTAGTGTTGCAAATACTATTTATTAGATATATTCGTTATGTTCGGATTCGTGTTTCTTGATTGAACATCTATACTATTATTTGCGAAGTGATTTTTCGCAACGGAGCTCTCACGTTAAAAGTTAGGGTGGCTAATATCGTTTATACCCTTAATGAATTTTTATAAAATTAATTATAATAAAATTTCCCAAGAAAAAAACAGCATCGTCCATAATTCAATCAAACATTAAATTAATACATACGATAACTTCAAATCAAAGGCCTTGTCTATATATTTATTTTAAAAAGAGAAAAACAATGTATAGGATAATTCTGGTCGGTGTAGACGTATGTTTTGTTTCTATCTTTATTCATAATTATCCTTATTTCATTGGAATTATACCTAATTATTTTTCCTATGTATATATAAAGACTTTACGTAGGTTATGAAATTATGGAAGCTGTGGAGGTAAAAAAAGGATTGTTTCCATTGAGATGGTTCTTGAGGATGCAATGTGAGTACATTACAAAATTATCTTTTTTTTTTTTGATCAATCATTACAAAATTATCTATATTTCACTTGTAGGGAACAAGGATACATGCACCCATAATCCACTGACGAGGATTTGATACAAATAAATGAATCAAAAGTGTCTGAGGGTGTTGTTTTTTGATATTGATACAATCTCTTTTTTTTTTGTTCAAGTTGGCGTTTTATCGAACATCAAACATTACTTCTTGTGATGATATTTTTCATCTTACTTGCCAAACAAGTATCTGAAGGATTCCCTAAAGATGCATTAAGGGATCTTCAAGAATGATGTCTTGATTGGTTAGTGACTTTTTAATTAGTAAAAATATGTATATTAACAAAGATGATTACTTAAACTTAGAAAATATACATCTTTTCTGGTTAAAATGTTGTTGATCAGATTGTTCATGTTGGTGCTCTCACTGAAGTTAATGCTAACGGGAAACAAACTAAAAAACTCATTGTTTTTCTTCGGGATGAAACATAAGTGTCTTGAAATTTATATTTTGGTTTTTCTGTTATAGTGCTTCAAATTTGACTTGCATTCTTTAGAGTGATTATGGAAAACAGGTTATAAACTATGTTCAAAAAGATAGCAACTCAACTATTGTTTGTGTTTTGCCATGTGTTACTGAAGTGATTTGATATTTGATGGTATCTCGAATGTGTTTAATGTAACACACTTGATATCGATAATCCTGGTCCTCAGTTTGATGTTTTCGATCCAAATAAGTTTATAAATGAATATATATATATATATATATATATATATATATATATATATATATTAGTTATAAAGGAGTTAATTACCCATGTTTAAAAAAAAACAAAGTGTTCTCAGGTTGCCAAAATATGGCTTTGTTCTCTCACGGGATGATTGATCTACGTATGATTTCTTTGCATAAGGAGTTATCGAGCTTGAGGTACTTAAACGTTACAGGTTGTAAAGTTTTAGGCCAAAGATTAGAGGAAACGAGTTGAATGGATATTCCAGATTACAGAATTATGTTTTGTGACTTAAAATGTCTATTCGCAACCCGTTGTTACATCAAGCATGGTCAGTTTAACCAAATTAACTAACATTTACTCTTGATTCAATAGTTACAACATGAAAAATTGATTTAAGTTATATTTGACTAATTTAAAAACTAAAATGAGTCAAAGCTTAAGTGAATCTACTTTTATATATTTAAATTAAGTTAGAATATTCTGTCAAACAAATGTAAGTATAACATATGGTTTTATACTTTATTTAAATTTAATTTTGATAATTACTGTTGGGTACATAATTAATTGTGAGAGTAGGAATATTTGTAAAAACAACGTATAGTTTGTTTGGATATAAAGGAAAAAAGAGTGGAAGCCATGTGAGAAAGGTCTAAAAACGTCAGTTAAAAAGAAAAAGAAAAAAAAGGTCTAAAAACGTCCTGATCCTTTGTTTCACAGCTCCTCCAGTTCCTTATTTAAAAAAATAAAAAATAAATTCAAATTACTGAATTTGTGTTAATAAATTCCTTTTATTTGATGATGTATATATATATTTCAGCATGTAAAACAACTTGGAGGATACTAGATTTTCCTACGCATAACCGTAACAATCATTGTGGTTAAGCTCTCCTTCCATTTAACTAATCAGCAAATGGCTATATTTATAATGAAGATGATCTTATTGATGATGTTTTAAATCGTTATTCGATATTGCGGTCAAAGTTTCTAACATGAATAAAGACGAACTGTAAATATCTAGAAGCAAAAGAACTAACATATGCTGATTCCCCTCAGAGTTTACTTGGGTACAAAAGGCAAGAGAGTGGAAGCCATGTAAATTTGCATTTGGAAGAATTGCATGTGTACCTAAATATGTAATTCTTTCTATCTCTAAGTTTTACTCAATATAGTAAGGTCCAAAGAGTTATAAAGCGAATTTCACTTCATGGTGAACCGGACTCAAAGGATGACTTGAAAATAATTTGTCATTTATAAATTAACAACTCCATCATGTACAATTAACTATTTTTTGGTTTCTTAGTATTCTATACTTTTTGAATGTATGATCAAAAATCATTTTGCTTTTCAGAATTAAAAATGGACGCTAATAATTGTAAAATGATTAGGCCCGCGTCAAACGCGGGCTAGACACCTAGTTAACAGTTGTTTATCCACGAATCTGGTCAAGGTTAGTAGTGGTTATGAACCAGATATATTCACTGATAATTTACCAAAACCTAGACTCCGTTTTTATTTTTCTTACCGTAAAGTTGTAAACTGGTTTCCGAACTTTAAGTTGGGCTTATTAATGTTAGACTCATTTAGGCCATAATCTGTAAACTAGTGGGCCTATAATGGGCTCAAAAGGGAGCGTTCTGTTTTTCGTTCTGTTTTCTCAACGCTGAGAGAGTTTTTTTATTTTGAGTCTTTGATTTCAGAATCTTATTGTGTGTTTAATGTTTATTATAAGACAATAGACACAATTATAGAGTTGACAAAAAAAAAAAGAAGACACAATTATAGACCAAAGTACAATTGGTTTTAGACTTTTAGTAAAAAATATATTATGAGGAGCAGCCACGATGGACCGAATCACCAAATGTACATGAACGTGCATTGCATGAGTCTAATTATATATACATTAATCAGAATTAAACCAATGTTTTGAGCTTAAAAAGTACTATTCAAGAAGGCTGCTAACAAAAATTGTATAAAAGTTAGTCCAAAATCAAATCTTTGTACGTGTCGATGACTCAATATCCACGTGGCAATCACGCAGAAGCTCTCTCTTGAGACAAAATATAACCCTAAGACGGGCTTTGTGTCTTAAAATAATCACTCTTGTCTCTCGCCGCTTCGCTTCCTCCTCCTTATCGGAATCTCTCGTCATTATGCTCAGAAGCCTCCACCATTATTGCCATAGCTCTGTCGCTTCACCTCTCCGTCCAACGATTCTCTCTTCGATTATTACTGTCGGAATCACTCACACTATTGCCATCATCTGAGAATTGGGTTTCCGTATTAATATTTGTTAAATTTCGTTACCGTATTCAAAGATGGCTGCTTTGAAAGGTTATGGATTGTGTTCTATGGACTCTGCTCTACACTTCCCCTGTCCAAGGCCATTCCAGCCCTACAAGAGGTTCCTTCTCTTTCTCCTCATATTTGTCTATGTTTATATGTTTATGTATGTCAAATTGCATATAGGTAATGTTTTATATATTTGATGAGTCCAAGCTAAGCTAGGCATGATGATAGTTTCTTCTACTGTCTAATTGCAACTGAATGATAGTAGTGGTTTGATTAAAATGAAGAATCTGGTGATGTCTTGTGTTGTTGCATGGCCAAAAAGTCTAGTCCTTTAGATGAATTACTAAGACATTTTATTAAACACCTCTTGCTCTGTCTATTAACTCAAGCTAATGTTTGCTCATAAACGCAGAAGAAGCTCGAGATGGGTCTCTCCAGTAGCAGCTGTTGTACCCAACTTCCATCTCCCTATGCGCAGCTTAGAGGTTAAAAACAGGTCTGTGTGTTCAAAAGACTTTTAGATGGACCAAACCTCGGTGAATGTTAAAAAAATCTCTTTTGTTTTCTACTTGTTAGGACCAACACTGACGACATCAAAGCACTACGAGTGATCACAGCCATCAAAACACCGTATCTCCCCGACGGAAGATTCGACCTCGAAGCCTACGACAACTTAATCAACATCCAAATCCAAAACGGAGCTGAAGGCGTCATCGTCGGTGGCACAACGGGAGAAGGCCAGCTCATGAGCTGGGACGAGCACATCATGCTCATAGGCCACACCGTGAACTGTTTCGGAGGAAGCATCAAAGTCATTGGAAACACAGGTAGCAACTCAACAAGAGAAGCCATCCATGCGACAGAACAAGGCTTCGCTGTCGGAATGCACGCAGCTCTTCACATCAACCCTTACTATGGTAAAACATCAATGGACGGTATGGTTGCACATTTTCAATCTGTTCTCCACATGGGACCAACGATTATATACAATGTTCCCGGGAGAACGGGGCAGGACATACCGCCACGTGTTATCTTGAAGCTTTCTAGGAGTCCTAATTTAGCTGGTGTGAAGGAGTGTGTTGGGAACAAGAGGGTGGAAGAGTATACTGAGAATGGGGTTGTTGTGTGGAGTGGGAATGATGATGAGTGTCATGACTCGAGATGGGACTATGGAGCGACCGGTGTTATATCGGTTACTAGTAACGTAGTTCCTGGTTTGATGAGGAAGTTGATGTTTGAAGGTAAGGACACGGCTTTGAATGAGAAGCTTTTGCCTTTGATGGAGTGGCTGTTCCAGGAGCCGAACCCTATTGGGCTCAACACTGCTTTGGCTCAGCTTGGTGTGGCGAGGCCTGTTTTTAGGTTGCCGTATGTTCCTTTGCCTTTGGCTAAGAGGGTTGAGTTTGTGAAGATGGTGAAGGAGATTGGTAGAGAGCATTTTGTTGGGGAGAGAGATGTTCAGGCTCTTGATGATGATGATTTTATCCTTATTGGTCGATATTAAGCATATACTTTCTTGAATCTTTTTGGTTTACTTTTGTTTGGTATTTAATGAAGATGAAGAGATGTTTTTCTTTTTTTTTTTCTTTTTGGTTTATGTAGCTGATGAATGAAACTCATTGAATGATTTCATCATATGTTTTGGTCTGTGCTTGTTATGAACTTATGATCTGCTTTTACTCTGTTTTAAAACCTGTTGGATGGAAACGGCATGCTTGTTTGGGTCTAGTGGTTGTAACGGCATGACTTTCCCATCTAGATCCCCATCTGAAAATCATTTTAATATTACCTGTTACTCTTCTAGCCATAGTCTCTTTGTTAAGCTTGACATGTTATGTTGAGTAGAGTAAAGAGTAGTAATTTAGAAAACAACAAAAAATTAACTAAAAAGTAGATTAACCATTAAAAGAAGAACACACATACAGAGATTACATATATTAAAAAGATGAATAAACCTATATTTCAAAAGAGGTAACAAGGAAATGAAACTATAAAAAAAGAAACAAAAAAATTAGATGTATACCCCAATAACACTAAACCCTTGAAAGTAAATTACAAGACTCACTTAGATGATAATTAAATCCCTTATTTTTAATTATTATTATTGACTCACTAAATAAGAAGCAGAAGAATATGATGATCTTGGTGCTTGTTGATGGTTTGTTTATGGAACATGTGAAACCTTTTGGGACTGGAGCAGAGAGAAGAGAGCTTTGTTTTCTTGGTGAAGAAGAAGAGCTTTCTTCTTGAGTTTCTCGTTCTCTTGTATGATGTGTTGGTTCTCCATGTAAAGCCTTATATTTCTCATCTCCATCTCCTTTTCTTCCCGCCACATCCTTCTCCTCCTGAAAATAGTAAAAAAAAAAACGTTATAGTGACTCATAACGTTATTACAGAGTTGGTTTATAGATAGTTTTCAGAGATGTGTGTGATATGATGGGAGATTGAAACCTGGAGAGGCGAGGGATACGAACGTGGGTTTGTGTTTTGAGGTACAAAACTAATCTCGTGGGTGTGTTTGAGAATGGTTCTGAAGAACTCAGACACATCTTTGGAGCTTGAAGAGAGATGAAGAAGTGAGAAGTGTGTTTTGATTAATGTGAGAAATATATAGAGGGCATTATATATAGATGAAAGTTTGTGTATTGCATTTTCCTTTGAGAGAGGAGAGAGAGATTGGCTCCTTTAGAAGGTAATGATGGCAAAAGAAGAATCATGATTACAAAGGGACAGGGAGAAGATGAAGTTGAATTTTTCTGAAGATGAATGAAGAAGAACAAGTATAAACAAAAACAGTCTCTATCTCTACTTATTTTTATTTATTTTAATACTGACTGATTAATTAATTGTACTATTTAGAATAATTTAGGAGGTTTCCCTAAAAAGTTGAATCTCACCGTTAAGAGGTACACACGAGGAAACAAACTGTTCAACTTTGGTTATAAAACTAGGTAAATTTTGTTTGTTTGTTTGCATGTTTTGTCAACTTAATCACATGGTTGATGGGTCTAGGTGACAGTTAGTCAAATCCGAAATCATTTGTTTATTCGTACATTAACAACTATTCTTTCCAAATATATATATATACAAGCAGTTTCTACTAGATATATATGGACCTTTTGCATGAAAATTACAATTAGTTAATAGTACTATATGAGTTCATCTCGTACGTTCACCGTTTCACACGTACTTTTACTTTTACTTCAACACCGTTACGCATTTAGTAAACAATAAGCTGGTTTTTATATCATCTATGTGATTTGGCAGATTTTTTTTGACTGGAAAAAGGGTCAAATCATGATTAGTTGGGAGGCAAAGAAGTCAAAAAGAGTTAAGAGTACGTCAAAACCTCGATCTTCTTCACAAGTACAATTGTTTCTCTTTACTTAAACGTTTTTTAATCATCAAGTCTCTGTCTTTATTTTTTGCCTTTTTTCACGTAAGGAAAAAAGATTACGTACCAGAGCCTCCAAGGTAGCGACTGTTAAACCAGCCAGAATATTCAACTCTATTGAAAGTCATATCTAATGATGGTTAATAATTCCGTTATATATGCAACAACAAGACTTACGTTCCAAAGTTTTATTTGATTTACTCCTATACTACTCATGTATTGGATGTAGAATATTAAGATTCTTAACTAATAAAGTACTTTGTTTTTCTTTTCTTTATAGATTAAAATATTCAAATCTGTTTACACCAGGCGTTAGGCAATAGTGTATATTTTCTTTAGCTCCTTATGTTTATTTAATATCGATCGTTGTCTTGCATTTCGAATAATTAAATTCGATTCTCTAGTATGTTTAATTCTCTAACCCTTTTATCAAAAGGGTACTTTTGTAATTAAAATCCTAACAAAATCTGCTCCCAAAAGACTATAAACTGGGAGAAGATAATGCAAAAAGGTAAGAACTTACAAGAGGGAATCATGGTTCACGTGAGGTAGGGAGCTTGGGTTTAAAAAAAGAAATGGTTTTGAAACTTGGAAGTAAGAGGAAAAAAGTGTGAAATGAATACTACCGAATCGGTGCAGTGACTTTTATTTAACAAAATATAAATGTATTGTGTAGAGTTAGTTGTAGTGGAAAAAGTCATTGGGAGTACTCGAGTAGGAGTAGAAGCAAAAGCCAAAACACATTAAATTTAGAAAACGAAACCACCGATTTGGTTTCTTCTTACCACAATCATGATACCCATTTGCCATAATAAAACCCCGTTCCCCACTCGACGACGATAGATTCATCAACCATCATCATTGTGCATTATTGAATTTTGTGGGCTATTTTTTCTTTAAATGCTCAAACCCAAGTTCCACACGCACATATGCCCAATCCCCTTTTGTTGCAATGGCCCAATCAATACTCCGTATTTTTCCAAACTTTAATATATAATTTCTTTATACCAAGCCACATCAAATTTCTCTAAAACCCAGTAAAAAAAAGAAAAGAAAAACCAAATAGAACAAAACAGTCTTATGTGAAAAAAAAACTCTTAGTAGCATAAAAAGCTAATTTTCATGACTATTCAATAAAAATATCAAGCTAGACATTGACAAAAAAAAAACTCTACTCATTACATGTATTGATGATATACAAGGAAAGAAAGGGACTTGGAGGACCACTACAAAAAGATGTACTCATTTCCTGTATTGATAATTTCAATTTGAAACCCAAAATGCAAAGACAAATTAAGTAATAAGAGAGAATCAATGGAACTGGAGGAGGAGATAGTCAACACCGAAATGAAACCCTCCCCATCCACGCTTCACTACAAAGTCTTCAAAACTTGTTATCATTTTGTTTATACTCCATTATTATCTTATATATATGTAGCCATACTTTTGAGTAAGTTACTGCTTTCATAATGATGAAATTGTAGTAAAGTGTGATTCTCCATCTCCATCTTTCTAATTTTCAGATTATCAATTGATGATTCCTCTGACTTGTTCTTTTCTTCAACTGTCTATAATGTTATCCCCATCCCTAGCTTAGCACTCTCCTTTCCACTTCGTTCTATCGTTACTATCATTGCATCACATTATGGAGATACTTTGTCCTGATATAGACTTCTCACAAGAATAATTTTGAATCAATTCGTTAAGATTCGCATTTCCAGGTAAATTACAAGTCCCATGTTACAGCCTTTACCATTTGCCATGCCATATCTACAAAACTTACTTCTAATTTTGACTAGAGAGTGAAAGTTAATGAATATGTGAACTCGAGAGCAAGATCTTGTTGCTAAGTAGCTTTATCATCTTCGTCCATGGCGTCCACCTGTTTTTCATCCCCATCAGCTTCATGGTTTCCTTCACTATCCGGATCCACTCTGTTGTCAACATTCATATCAGAACCCTCTGTGTCCGAGTCTGAGACAGGACCAAGTTTTTCCTTCACATGGTCATCATCATCATCTGTGTCAGAACAACTCACTGTCTCAGAGTCGGAAGAACCATTATCATGATTTGTTTTTCCTATGATTCCCGTTGTCTCCTTAACAGCTCCATCCTCAGCGTCATCTTCCCTTGTAGAGTCAAGGACCTCGGGAACTGTCGATTTAGTTTGACTTTCGCCTACTTGGACGGTAGAGTCATGTACCATCGTTGCCACTTCCTTGATTCTTTGAGTCTGACTCTCTTCATCCTCTCTGTTTCTTTCGGTTTCGTTTTCTCCATGTACAGAAGGAGCTGTGCTATAAGCCCAGCTCCCAGCAACTTCAGAAGCTAGAAGATCTGACGTTCTTACAGTGCCTACTCCCTCTGTGTCTTGTGTATCCCTTTGATCGTTCCTTAACAAGGGAACAGCTCCATCGTTCTGATCACCTTCATGCACCTGAGTTTCAAAGTCTATTTGCATTGTATCACCAGCAGAAATGGTTGACTTCCTCAGATGGTCATTTCCTGGACTCTGAGTTTCGTCAACTTGCTCTGTTCCTACAGGGTCTGTTCCCAAAGTGGGTGCTGTACTAACACCACCTATATCGGAGCCAAATCCACCCTTCGAGACTTTGTCGGAGCTTGTATAATCAGCTTCTTGGGTGTTTTGGCCTTCCTGACTCATGATTTCACAATCATGCTTCTGAGTAGCGTCCGCATCTTCAAAGGACGTATCCAAAACTTCGTTTCCGTTAGACCTTTGCCCTGAAGTGGAAGAGCTTGCCTTGGCAGCACAATTCGTATGGCACGTTGCTCTGACATCTTCCTGAGTATTACCTCTGTTGGGATTTCTAGTTACCGGATTCACATCAATATCTAATGAAATATTGTCACAATTTTCCTCATCTTCTAGAGTTCTTTGCATGTTCTTGAGCTGTTTCTGCTGCTTCGCAAACAGAGCCGAGATCTCCTCAGTCGTAGAATAAAATGCCCGCAACTGAGTTTCACTGCATGAAGATTCAGCGTGTCAATAAGTCAAATCAATCACACTTGCGTAACAATGCATGCTAATAGTTTAAGGCAACACAGTCAACAAGAAACCACCTTCTTACCAGAAAATCTAGACAGCACAAGAACAGTACAGCAGCACTAAAAATAAACTTACAAGTGAACTAAAAAAGCATGCATGCGTTAAGATTTTCACCATTGACGATCTAGTATAATGTAGGTTATCCATGTCTTACCGGAGCATGATTCTTTCTCTTGCACCACGGTGTCTCTGTCTTTCAACGTCAAGATCTCGAAGAGCAGCACTTATCTCTAGTTCTAAGGCAGACACTTTCGCCCATGCTTCTTCTCGGGCTGCCTGCTAACATAACAAAGAAAGTCTCAGCTTAAACATAAAACTTGCAGAGGTGGGAAACAGAAGCATGTCGTTGATTTAAAACTGTGAAAAGAACAGAGGTAGATAAATGTATTTCCTTCTTACCTTTTCGTTCTCCAGATCCTTTTGCAGTCTTTTTATTTCCATGTCCAGCTCTTCGATTTTCTGTTCCAAATAGAAGTTTTTTATTCAACCGTCGATACAGAAAGGAGAGAGAGAAGAGAATCATGCAAATTAAGAGGGAAATTGCATCCAGGTCAGGTACTTTTTGTGCATTAGCGGATGCAAGCTGCTCCTCGGAAACTTGAGCTTCTAGCTGACGGTTTCTATTGTCAGAGTAGACTACCTTCTGCCTCGTATCTTCCTATAAAACACCAACAAACTTCTCAAATGACAAACAAAATGAAAAACAAAAACGATTTCAAGGTTTCTGTAGAATAAATTACAAAACATACCAATTTTGACATCAAAGTTTCCACTTGGATGGACCTTTCTTTCTCTGTCTCCTAAACATTTGTCAGTAAACTGTCTTATTCTGACGCCATAATAATGAAGAATAGTTAATTCACACAGAAAGTCTCTATCCATACCTTCATTTTGTTGATTACTTCTTGTTGTTCCCTCTCGTGTTTCATAGCAACATCAGAAAATCTGTTCAATTCTTCCTGAGCCTCAATTTGGCATTTATGTATCGCAGCTTTTATTTCAGCAGCGGCTATTTCTCTTTCCTCTTTTCTTTGATTTCTCTCTTCATCCAGCCCTGTCTTCAGTTCATCTATAGTTGCTTTTTGACTGAAAGGAACAGTTAAAATTATCATTGGCTACATATTTGCAATGTTCGTGCTTATAAACGCATAGCAACATAAAAATATTCCAGAAATATAAATATACAGAAATCATATGAACATTTGAACGGTTTTATATACAGAACATTTTCTGAAAGAACTATATATAAAGTTTAAATCATATGTTGTTGCCAAAAAGACCGCACTGAAATAGCTCGAAGTGACTTTTGCATCACAGTTCAAGGATCGACTAATGTCTAGCTCTAACTTTTGAATTTCAAAGAAGGTGCTTGATTAATGAGAAAAAATAACGTAGAGATGTTTTATGTTGGTGGACAGGTAAATTAAATGGGTAATTCGATTTTGAAGTCTTAAAAACGGAGTTTCTTACAAGCTGTCACAATACTTGCATAAAATATGATCCTAAGAACGACGATAAACCAGGGAAACACTTTATTTACCTTTTAATTATTTCATTTGCTTCACTGAGAGATTGCAAAGAACCGCTTAGCCTCTCGCCAAGGTCATCTATGGAATGCTTCTGTTCAGCTGATACTTTGTTGACCTGCGCCAGTTCTTTCTGCTTAGTATCTATTAGCTCACGCAGCTCCATCAGTTCATCCTGAAATGATTTTGCAACAGATTCTTTCATCTGTTTTATTTCCTGCAGAATGCAACGTTATATTAGTAAAGATACTTAAATAATCCACCAATCACTCGAAGATCACACCATGGCTTTTATCTTCTGTAACAACATTATCTTTAAAAACGTACACTTTCATGAAGCTCCACAATTGCCCGGGACTCATTACGCAGAGTATCAACGGTAAGTACTTGTGCTTCTAATTGTTTCCTCAGCTCCTGCAGACACCATTCATTTATTGAAACAAAGTTGCTTTACAAATACATCAAGGTTTATACAATCACTAAAATCAAATAACGGACGCCTCAATAGAAGATGAACATACAGTGTTTGATCGCTGGAGGCTCTTAAAATCATCCAAAGATATTGGACCATCAGGACCACCAATTCCTATGCCCTTCGGCCTCTTAACTTCACAATTTATATCCTCTTCACAGCAGCAAAACACACAGATCAAACGTGAGAAAAAAAAAAACTTGCTATATAATGGTGAAAAAGAGTCCTCATACGTGCCATTCCTAAGTCTACACGAATGGTAAGTTAGAAACCAAAAAAAATCCTGGACCATGGTACCTGCTTTTCTTTTTCTGCTCATGGAGGAAACTGCAGCATTATTTCCAACTATTTCGCGGTATACAAATGCAAAGGCCTTTTCTGAAATGAAGAAGACAAATGCAGCGGTGAGCATTATATATTCATCCGTAGTCCTAAAAAGCCACTAATAAAAAAGGTAACTTATGACTTGAAAATGGTGAGATAGAGAGAAATAAAAGTTACCATGCTCAGGAGGAGCAGCAAACGAAATGATATCACCATGCTGAACCCTGACTTCAGGACCTTTCTTCTTCACTCTCTCCCAATTAAGAAACGTACCATTTGTACTACATCAAAGCAAACACAACACACACGCACACAAAAAAATCAATTTTTTTTATAAGTTCATTAACCTAATAAACCAGAAGAAGACTTCACTAACTAACCTAGTGTCTTCCAAGAAGACAGAGACATCACCACCTGTAACCTGCTTACGATGAATCTTACAATGATTCCCACTTATAGCATTCGACTCAATCTGATAACTAGCGTGACTTGGCAACCTCCCGAAGCAATGCTCATCACAAGTCAAAACCATGTTTATGCCCTAAAAAATCAAACATTAATCACGAATCTAATTAAAAACTTCCGGAAGAGAAATTACATTACAGTCCCTAGGGTTTTAAAAAACCCAAACCTGGCGGCGTTTGCGAGCACTGTTCGAAATAGCGGTGAGGACACCCCAGACGTTGGAGTCGTAGTTCTGTAGCGGCTGAGAGGCGATGTTAGCAGCGACGGAGACGATGAAATCCTTGGAGTTCATCGACGGAGATGGAGTGGCGGCGTCGTTTTGGCTGTTGCTGATACGCGACGACGCGATCTTCCCGTCCTCCGCCGCGGTAGACGCCATTTTTAGGGGTAGCGGTGAAGAGGAAAAAATTGGCGGGGAGTTTGAAAGCCCTAAACACTGATGGTTTTTAGTGAGTGAAATGTTTGGGGGTTTTTATTCTCTGTGAAGCTTCTCGAGGAAGATGAGTGTGTGAATGTTCTGTCGTTTGTTAAATGGAGATGAGGAGTGAGCGTCGTTTTGTGGAGTGATAAACGATAGGGTTTGTGATCGCGGAAGATTGAAATGATGTGAGCGTCGTCAATGAGAAAGGTGTCGGTGTCAAGACGGGCTTTTTCACTCTCTTTAATAAAATTACTGGGCCACACTACTGCCAACTCTTGACGGTGAAGACCCATTCATTGGTAGATATATTTGTACATGGGAAACGATACCGTTTTGCATAACCCTCAAATTTGGAATATTCCCGTTGTTCCATTTATGAAGTTAAGACAAATTAGCAAAATGATAATAAAATCTGAAAGTGGAAACTTTGCTTTATTCGTTGCTTCGCGGGTAAAAGGTAAGGTATCATTTGCTTTCTATTTTTTAAGGAAAAGAAGTAAAAATTACACTCACTAAAACTATAACTCTGGCTACCTAAAACGAGAAACTGGGTCCATGGGATTATTAATCACTATCTAAAATTTTAAAAAATCTAGAGCATCATTGAATCAAACACTACAAAACATTTAATTATAAACCACATAGTGGTGGTTTGTGCCTACATTTTTTCCTCAGAAACCTATTTCAAATTTTGAATTGTTGGCACATTGTATATTTGTCTTGTTCCAATCTATAAAATGCAAAAATAATTTTTTTTTATAGAAGATGAATAACTGAAGAGTGATGATATCTGAACAGTAGTCTAGTTCAAGATAAACAGTGAAAGCAATAATGAAAATGTGATTAAATAAAAGACTTAAACCTCACACTCTCTAATCCCAGGTTTAAAAACTCAACAAACATAACCACAAAAGCAGTAGAACAAAAATTAAATTAAAAAAAAAGAACAAAAGCAGTGGCAGCGAGCGTAATTACGAGAAGACTCCGAAACCTTTCAACTTCATCATCAAAGAGACACCGAAACGGCTACGGCGACGAGCGCGACCAATGCGGTGAACAACGACGGCGAGCTCACGGCAACCCCCGATTTAGCCGACTTGCTGTCCGCCGAACCAACCGGCGAGTCCGACGGAGAGCTCCCCGGTGACTCATCACTCGGAGGTGCCGGCGGCGACGCTGCAGTCGGCGACGGACTTTCCGCCGGCGACGGCGACGGCGCCGGAGAAGCAGCTTTCCCGAAAAGTTCAGCGGGGAGGAGGACTTTATCCACCGTGAAAATCACCACCGGAGTAGCATCGAGCACCGTATCAGCGACCCTCGACGGAGCAACGCCGGTGTGGAGAAC